GATCTGTGTGCGTTCCGCTTCACACTATCCCCCCGTAGACACACACATACATATACCCTAGATTCTGCACTCATTCCATTTAGGAGCCAGGTGTCCCCATCAGGCCCAAAGCGCTGCCCCTCCTTTGGGTGCAAACAGCTTACTCTCACGGACCCAGACCCGCAGACTCCCCAACATTGTCTCTCAGCCTGGGGGCTGCCCGAGGACAAGTCCTCTGCCTACATCCTTTTCTCCTCAGCCTCACCTCAGCACACAAAGATGGCTGGGGTGGGCTGGGAGAGGGGATGTGAGCCTGGAATGCTCCAGGATCCCGAGCTCCGTCCTCAGTGCCCCCTCACTTGGCGAAGGGCTCATCTGGTGTCTGCTGCCAGCTGCCCCCACCCTTAGGTCCCCTGAGAGGAAACTGACCCCTGAAACAAGACGGGCACGGGGAGGGACCTTGGAGGACATTTCCCAGCAGAGCGCAAGTGAGCCGAGGTTGGCTGGCTGAGTCTTGAGTGGGAGTGGGTGGCAGGCCTCTTTCACAGAGGGGCCTGAGGTCTCATCCCCATGCCAGTCACCCTCGTAGGCACTGGCCCTGGGTTCCCAGCTGAGGCTTCCTGTGCCTTCCAGGAGAGGCAGGTGTGTCTTAGGACACGGTGAATCTGGCGGGCTCTCTGGGCAGTGTGTGTGTGTGTGTGTGTGTGTGTGTATCTGCAAAGGCACCCGCTGCTCAGTCATGTGGGCCACTCATGTGGGTTGTGCCAGCCTAGCCTAGGGCAGAGCTTCCAGGCGGGCATCCCTCTTGCTGTCACAGGCACACACCCCACGCCATTCTTCTGATGCTTCTTAGTGTCTCCATGTCTTTGACCCAGGCTCTGCCCTGGATTTTATCTCTGGCCCTGTCCCCTTTCTTCTGGTTGGAGGCCCAGCAGAGCTGAGAGTCGTTGCTGGGCTGGTGGGGGGAGCGGGGGATGGCCAGGGTGCAGGGACCCTGAGCCCCTCAGGACAGTTCTGCTTCCACCTAACCTGAGCATAGGGACAGTGAAAGCCCAGCCCCTCCAGAAAGCTGCCAAGGCTGGCCCCGGGCTGTCTCCTGAAAAACAGCCAGTGGTAGTCTCTGGGCAGTGGGAACGCAAAGAGGGAAACTGGCCTGGCTTGTCCAAGGGCGCAGCAGCAGCAAGAGCCCCAGCCTGAGTGGAGCAGAAGAGGACCCGAGTGGAGGTTGCTGGGGTGAGAGCGCAGCCCGGGATCTCAGGTCGCAGTCGGGCCCAGAAGCCAGCTCTCTGGCTCCCATGCTGTGGTGCTCATTTGTGGCAGGACACCTCTGGTGACAGATATGGGAACCCCCTCAGCAGGGGATGATGAGGACAAGCCGTGCTTGGGGGAGGGTCCTGGAGAGTGAGGGTCAGGAACCCAGGTCACTGCAAAACTTTGATATTCTTATCTGCTTATCGCCTGGGGCAGCCACTTCCCCTCCACCCAGGGTCTGAGGCAGCCATGGTCTCTTAAAGGAGCACAATCCTATTTCTGGCCAGCTGGTCCTAGGAGGCTGCCCTCCTTACCACTTGCTCTTTAGACCCTAGCTCTGTCCTACTTTAGGGGCCTGGGAACAGGTGACTCTCCAGACCGAGGGTCCCCTTCCCGAAGGGAAGGCTCTGGGCAGCCTCCTTTGCCCTGCCTCCCTGGACCCTGCATTGGAGAGCTTCCTGGGGTCTGTGTGGCTTTGTCCCCCAGTGGGGCAGGCCCAGGCCTTCTGGGAAGCAGTCTCTGGCTGTGGACACTCACTTCCGCCTCTCCTACCTTCCCAGCCCCATTGCTTTTGATTTCAGAGCCAAGCCCACTGAAGGGCTTGGAGGACGCTGGGGAAAGGACGTGACCTGGACTCAACCCACCGCAGCCCCCTGCCCTGCTCCCCTCCCCCAGCCAGGGGCCCTGGGCTGGGCAGCTTCCTGCCTTCCCCATGGGGAAAGCGGGGGTGGCGTGCAGGTGGGTGGGCCCTGTGCCCACATCCGGTGGCCTCCAGAACCTCCCGTCACCACCTCTTTCCCTCCCTTCTCCCAAGCTCCCTTTGCCTCCAGCCTCCCAGCACCTGAGTGCCCTGCCCCATGGTCTCCCCCTCCCCACCCCCCCAGTTCCTCTGTGCTCGCTCCAGGTCCCTGCAGGCCCCCAGGGAAACGTGAATCCCCGCCCAAGGCCAACAGGTCCACCTGGCAGTGAGATGAGGAGCCAGGCCTGGTCTCCTGCAGGCCCAGTGTGAGAACTGACTTTGTGGAGGGTGCTGGGGACGCTCGGGTGCCCTCACACATCGGGATTCCTGTGGCCCCGCTGGGGAGCACAGATGGAGGAGCCGTGGCTTGGTCTGAACGTCCGAGAGGGAAGGGAGTTTTCTGGACTAGGGTCCATGGGCACGAGCCTCGGGGAGAAAGCCCTTTGCTTGTGCTGGAATCCAGGACTCCCTCCCAAGGCCCTGCCAGGGAGTTCTGTCTCCTGGGTCACCTCCTCCCCGCCCCCGCCCAGGCTCTTGCACCATCCCCTGTAGCTGGTGGAGGAAGGAAAGGCTGAGGACCCGGAAGCCACCTGTCCGGGGCGTATGAGATGGTCTCCTCAGCCCCCTCCCGCCAGTCCCCAGCCTTGTCTCTGGTTTCCTGTCAGTGTGTCCTCCCTAGGGAGGGGAGGGGCCGCTGATCGCTGCGGTGTGGGGGCGGGCTCCAAGACCGTTGGGCGCCCTGAGATCTGGCCCACGTGGCCTCGGGGTTATAAACGCTGCCCGCCCTGAAGGGAACCCCATTTTGGAGCTTGGAGCCCAGGGCCGCTGCTTCTCAGCCCTGCAGCCTCAGGTAAGAGCCCGAACTTTCACTCCGGCCCCAGCCAGGACTCCTCAGCGCTGGGCCTTGAGAGCCTATGAGGGGCTTGGGTCGCAGGCTGGCAGTGGAGAGGCTGGGGTGGGGGGAGGCCAGGAGCACGGGCGCCAACGCTTCCTAGGGCAGCTGCAGGCACACATCGGCAAACACCTTCAGCCCCACCGGCCTCCCGGGGGGCGCTCCTCTGAGTTCTCTCCGGTCCAGGGAGATGGTGCCTGGCTCAGATGAAGAGGGAGGAGGCGGGAGAGCAAGGTGGAGGTGGCAAAGGCCAAAAACGTAAGGCCGGAGTCAGAGAGAGGCGCTGAGCGCCTTCCTCCGCCCAGCGTGGACATGGCTTCTGGCGCCATACTCTTCCTGGGCCTCTGCCTGGGATCAGCAGGGCAGTGGAGGAGAGTCAGGTGGTTGGGCCCGTGGGGAGGCTGGAGACTGAGGCCTTGGAGAGAATGAGGCTGTGGCTGCGTCAGTTCCTTTCTGGAGGGTGGGCAGTGTGGCAGGGAGGGGGCAGCAGGCCTGGGGGCTGGGGTCAGGAGTCAGGCCTCCAGAGTAGATATGGCCTCTACCTGAGGGTCCCTGAAAGTGGGGAATGGGGTGGAGCCTTGGGGGAAGGGAAGAGGGAACCAAAGAGGAAGTGGGGGGAGGGAGGTAGAGCAGGCAAGTCTGGCGCCATGCTGAGTCACCACCCACAAGGCCCAGGGCGGGCCCTCCGGGGGCGGTGGGCAAGGTGCAGGGGTCTTAGGAAGCCACAGGGAGGGCTGGTCGGGGGGCTCTCTGAGCAGGAGTTGGAAGAAGAGTGGTGGCCTGAAGAGCCGGCGCAGAAGGACAGACAGACAGTGCAGTCACCCATAAAGTAGAAAGCACTACTAACAGCACTGGAGGGTGTAGTGTTTCCTACTTTATGGATGAGTGTACTGTGGGCTTCGGAGACCACGCCACCACCGCCGCCACCACCCCAACGTCTTCCCCTGCCTCGGGACCGCATGTGACAGGTGAGCATTTCATACATCCCCTCCACCTGCCCAAACCCTCGAGAGGCCCCCCAGTGCCCCCCTCAGTGCTGCCCTTCCTCATGCCAACCGGAGAAGGGCACCCGCGGCCTCCCGGCTGCCCTGAAGTCTGGGAGCCCGGGGAGAGGGCCGGGTGTGTGGACCCCAGAGGCAGCAGCCGCGGGCGGATGGGGAAGCCACGGGCAGGGAGGGCAGAGGGAAGGGGTCCCAACGCTAATAAAGAATGTGCTCTGCTTCTCTTGTCTGAGACTTTGTTGCTGGGATGGGGCCCTGGGTGGCGATCGAAGGCACCTGGCCAGCGTGGGTGCAGCAAGGGCTGGACGGGGGCTCAGGCTCACTCTCCAACCATCAGAGGGAAGGGCCTGGGCCGGTGGGGTGAGGCCCTCCTGGCAATCTGAAGACAGGGACAGGACACGGAGAGGCCTTCCCACCTTTCGCCCTACTCTGGCTCTGCCTTGCTCTCTATTATTTACAGCTCCAAGCTGAAGCTGCCTACCTCTGGTTTTTTTTTTTTTTTTTTTTTTTTGACAGGCAGAGTGGACAGTGAGACAGAGAGACAGAGAGAAAGGTCTTCCTTTGCCGTTGGTTCACCCTCCAATGGCCGCTGCGGCCGGTGCACCACGCTGATCCGATGGCGGGAGCCAGGTGCTTCTCCTGGTCTCCCATGGGGTGCAGGGCCCAAGCACTTGGGCCATCCTCCACTGCACTCCCGGGCCACAGCAGAGAGCTGGCCTGGAAGAGGGGCAACCGGGACAGAATCCGGCGCCCTGACCGGGACTAGAACCCGGTGTGCCGGCGCCGCTAGGCGGAGGATTAGCCTAGTGAGCCGCGGCGCCGGCCCCCTACCTCTGGTTTTAATCTAAGAAAGTCTAGGGGCCCCTGGGTGGTATAAGAAGTGAGCAAACACACTGCGGCACACACAGGGCATGTTATGCATAGACAAGGGCACGGATACTAATATGAAAAGCACACACACCAGCATGCATGTGCATTTGCACACAGGTTCCACACGTAGGTGCCAGTAACACACAAGAACAGTGATACATATGCACATGTGACATAGCTCGCATGGCACAAAATGACACACAGGGATATACACGAGACCCAGGGCACTTAATCAATATGATGGGATCTTCAAAAAGTTTATGGCAAATGGAATTAAAAAATAAGTTTATTTTGATGCAAACAATTTTGAAATGATGCCTCTGAGGGGGCATCAAAGAGTTTGTGGGGAATATGTATTAAGCAGAGAGTACACATGGATTTGCAGTAAAATAAAGCCTTTTAATTTAATTTGTCATGAACTTCTTGAAGTACACCTGCAATGACATAAATGTGACACATATCGCATATAAAAGCATACAGATACAAAGTGACATTCACATAATAAGCTTCACTCACATACATGTATGGTGACATTCAGATGTGATAAATATGAGGTAGATACATGAGGATGCATACAAGTGTATCACCATGCATATATGGGGGATATACATACACGCACACACACACATACACAATTGACCCTCCTTGTCTACAGGTTTTAAGGAAAATAGCTTTTAGAAATCCACATGTACTGAACATTTACAGCCTTTTTTCTTATCCCTTATGCAGTATAACGACTAAGAAGCATAGGCAGTATGAGTAATCTAGAGATGATTTACTGTAGCAAGGAAAAAGTATGGCTCGGTGTCTGTCACACCCTCTCCAGCGTCTGTCTCCACTGCACGGAGGTCCCGTGCCCTGGGTAATAGGCAAACACAGCAACATTTTATAAAAAGAGTTGAGCATCCTTGGGTATGGTATCTGCAAGGGTCTTGGAACTAATCCCCCACAGATACTGAGAGGTGCCTGTATCTGTCCATGTCCATGTCGTATGTCATCACACATACTGACGTGGCTGGGTGTAACATTACCAATAGTATAATGGCATGTAATGCCAACAGTGACACTTGACAAAAATGTATCATGACTCAGGTGTTATAATTGATACTTTCACACAATGGTAGCCTCCCATGCATATATCAGCATACACATAGATGATGTGGCAAACATATAAAAATATAAATTTATACGTAAAATATAAACAAAAATGCAATGGCACAGAAACAGACATAAACATCCAATGAGACTCAGATACAAAATACACACAAGCACACACACAATGGCCACTCCCACATAGAAATCTATTCTGTAAATGCATGCATATAGGAGTATCCTCAGACCTAAACATCAGTTACATACACCATGTAGCGGTGTGCCCATCGATCTACACACTGCTTTAGGGAAGAGACGATGTCCCCTCGTCCCATGTAACCCCCTCCCCCAGTTCCACCAGCTGTGATCTGGGTGGGGCCCACAGTCGGGCTCTGTAGTTCAGGGCCGTGGTTGCTATTCCATGGGAATGCCACACGAGGGCCCCCGAACTAGACTGAGACAGGCTGGTCTGGTGAATCCCAGGTTGGGAGAGGGGTTGCCTCCCTAGGGCCTCCCTTAATAATACCCTGTGTCTGGGCACTCCACCCCTAGGGCCTTGCCCCGACATAGACTCCTAGATGAAGGGGGTTCCCATGTCCTCGTGCCAAAAAGCCATTTTCTCACAGCAAAAAGGCTGGAGGCTGGACAGAGATGGACTTCCCGAGAATTCTGGGCAAAGCCAGGAGGTCTCCTCTGCTGGGCTGGGGCAGCCAGGGTGCCCCCCAAATGCGGTTTGCCAGGAGGACACCAAAGCAACCCTCTCTGCCCATTTCTACCCCTGTCTCTGCTCCCGTCTTCCTGTTTCCAACCCCCTGATTTCTTTCTTTGTCTCACCTCAGCTCCTGTCTTTCTCCGTCCTGCCCTTCTGTGCGGCTCGGTGTCGGTCACACCCGCCCCTATGTCTGTGTTCGCCAGTCCCACCCTTGGAAGGCACCAGGGTGTGTGGGGACGATGGCCGGGGAGGCCACCGTGGCGGGTGCTGGGCTGGCATCCCGCGAGGAACCTGCTCTTCCCTCTGTCCCGGCCCTGCCAGCCGGTCCAGCCCACCAGTTCATCGCCATCACCATGGAAACCAGCAGCCGACTTCCTATTGGTGGGCGGGAGGGGAGGAGGAGGGGGAGGGGAGGGCTGTTTCTCTCCTGCTCACCCCCCCATTCCAAGGCTCAGTCCTCCTCGGCGCCCACCGGCTCCGGGCTCTGGGATTGTAAGGGACCCCTGCAGTCCCCAGAGCTGAGGCCAGCAGGGGCAGAGACTATGAGCCCAGCAGCCCATCGACCCAGGCCTCCTTAGGACCAGCCCAGCCAGCAGCCAGGCAAGTGAGCAGCAGCGGAGAGGGGAGCAGGAGATAAAGGACCGGCGGATCACTGGGGCTCACCCCCCACAGCTCCCGAGGACCCTAGCCAGGCTGAGGGGTCGTGACGGATGGCCAGACTCACCGACACACACAGCATCAATACACCCAGCTGCAAGACACTGACACACTCAGCTACAACCAGTGACAGCATCACACATTGCCACAGCCCTGCAATACAGACACCCACCCACCCACACACACACAGAAACAACTGGCAACTCTGAAACAGGCACAGACGGTGACACACAGCGTCACCACCCTCCACACACACAAGTGGGGGCACCCTCCTCTAAACACGGACAGACTTGGGGACGCACACGCATACCCTCACCCGGGCACTGGCTGCTTGGTGGCCTCCCCACCCCCACAGGGACACCCTCGCCTCTCCACATACTCACGCACACAGCTGCGAGCAAACAGCGCTTGCACACCCCGGGTCCAGCTCCTGCAACCCCGACGCCTTCTGAAGCCTCCTTTGCGGGGGAGGAAGCACTCAGCCAGCCTTGGATGGAGCCTCGGTGAAGCCAGGAGCTCAGAGGGGAAAGGGTCTGGCCCGGCAGGACACTCACCAACCACCCACCGTGGCTGAGTGATGTCCCCCGGCCCAGGTTCTGGGGCCCCTTGGACCTACCATGGAGCAACTGACAACCTTCCCACCACCTGGGGACCCCAGAGCCGTGGAGCCATGGCCATTGCCCAGCTGGCAGAGCTGGACTCCGGGCCAAGGGGGCGAACCGGGAGTCGCAGCCCCAAGCATCGCTGCTACTCCGGCAGCTCGGCAGCTCGGCAAACTGAGGCCTGAGGAGAGTCCCAAGGCGGAGGGAGCCCGGAGCCCTGGTGCCATGGCGGGCACCGACCCTGAGGGAACAGAGGCTGGTCTGCTTAGCCAGGGGCAGCAAGCAGCGAGCCCTGGACCCGGGCACCTGAAGCTACAGGATAAGGAGGTGGAGGCTTTCCCTAAGGTAAGCGCTGTGAGAGGCTGCAGTCTGCGAGGCGGGGGTCTCTCACTCCCCTCCAGCCTGGCCAAGAGGCAGGCGATGTGCGGCCGCACTGCCCACCTCCCCGGCACCCCGGGCCGGACTTGGCCGTGGGTCTCTCTCCATCTGTCCTCCCTCATTGCACAGGAATTTCAGTGGGTCCATTTTTTTTTTTTTTTGGTGGCCATTTGTCTGTCCTTCTCTCTGCCTGTCTGTCTGTATCTGGCCTTGGCCCTAGCCCTGGCCCTGCACTGCCTCCTCCCTGTCTGTCACTCTCTGACAATCTGGCTGTCCTTGGGAGCTGGGGGGCATTGAGGTATGTGGAGGTGTGTGGGGAGGAAGTGGATTCAGGGGCAGGGCTCAGGGCTCGGCTGAGCGGTGTGGGGGGAGGAGGTGGCGGACAGGGTTTGGGGTGGGTGTGAGTTGCAGAGAGAGCGCTTTGGGAGAGGGCAGGGGCGTCACGGCCCCGGAGGAGTCTGGAGGGCTGGCACTGCCTACAGAAGATGGGCAGGGAGGGCAGGGAAGACCCCAGGCTTGAAGGGTGCCACTGTGGTCAAGGACTGCACAGCCCCTTCTCCTAGGCCTCCTGTGCCCATCTCCGAAGGCCTGGGACAGAGAACTTTCTCCTCTCACTGTGCCCTTGGGCCGTGTAGGAGGGACGCCTCCACAGCAGGGGCTCTGGCTGGGTGGGGTGGGTCCCTGAGGGGCTCTACCCCCTCCTTTCCCATGCCAGGCCACGCCGAACGTGGGCTTTGGGGACAGGCCCAACGTGGAGCTGCTGAGGGCCCTGGGGGAGCTGCAGCAGCGCTGTGCCATCCTTAAGGAGGAAAACCAGATGCTGGTGAGGCTTGGAGAGCGGGGCCCTGGGTCCTGGCTGGAGCCAGGCCCTCTGCCTCAGTGCCCTCCTCATTCCATGAGCACCTGCCAAGTGGGGGGCTCCCTGGAGGTGACATAAGCCTGGAGCGGGTGAGCCCCTATGTAGAGTTGCCAAGGGCCCCCCTGTGAGTCCAGGGCTCCCGCCCGAGGCCTGAGCAGTTAGGATTGGGTTTGTGGGGGGGTGCTCCCCACATGCCCCAATTCTGGCTGACCCCTTGTTAGAGAAAGAGCAGCTTTCCCGAGACGGAGGAGAAAGTGCGGAGGCTGAAGCGGAAGAACGCCGAGCTGGCGGTCATTGCCAAGCGCCTGGAGGAGAGGGCACGGAAGCTGCACGAAACGAACCTGCGGGTGGTGAGGAAGGAGCCTGCTGGGTGGAGGCCGGGTCGCAGGGGCAGGGCCTGAGGGGCTGGGGCTTGCAATCAGAGATGCTTAGCACCCAGGAAAGCAGGGAAGCAGGGATCCAGGCGCTGGAGTGCAGGAGGGCAAACGCCAGCCCGGGAGGAAGCTGAAGGTATCTGGAGCCACAGGAGGGAGAGGAGGCCTTGGCGGGGAGGTTCCAGGGCAGGTTGGGAGCAGGAAGCCGGACTACCACGTGCAGGGCCGGCTGCAGCCTCCTGCTGAGCTCATGCAGGGTGCAGAGCTGGAGTGGGGGAGGGATGAGACCCATCACTGTGGCAGCATCCTCTGGACCTAAAGTAAGAGGTGCAGTTAACCCTTTCAGTCCCATTTGGTGACTGCCGGGTTGAGGCGGACTGAGGCCCTAGGCAGGATCCAGAAGCAGGGGGCCAGGCTTCCAGGTTTTCATCCTGGCACTGCCTCATTCAGGACTAGCTGGGGAGTGGGAGAAGAGCCCCCAGGCCTCAGGTGACCCCTGGCCTTACCCCTCCTCTGGCTAGGTGAGTGCCCCTCTGCCCCACCCGGGAGCCAGCTTGGACTTGTGTCACAAGGCCCTAGCCCGCCAGCGAGCCCGGGACCTCAGCGAGACAGCCAGCGCACTGCTGGCCAAGGACATGCAGATTGCTTCCTTGCAGCGGGAGTGCAGGGAGCTGCAGGCCAGGCTCACCCTGGTGGGCAAGGTGCGAGGAGGCCCCGCTCACCCCTTCCCGCTCCACCCAGCCTGTGGGATGCGGACGAGATGTTAATGAGATGCAAATGACACGGGGAGGTGGAGGCTGCTGGAGAGTAGGTTCCCCTGGCAACGGCCCAGGTGGAGGGAGGAATGAGCCTGAACTGAAGGGGGTGGAGCCATCCGCCCCAGACCTGGGCATTTCTGCAGCTCCAGGCTGGGGGCTGTGCCAGCGTGTCTGAATGAAGGCACACACACTTCACGCTGGCGTGGAGGAATGCTCACCAGGCATGTAGCACAGTGCCCGGCACGCCGTGAGCGCCCCGTAAATGAGTTGCGGCGGCTGTTTGCGCACAGGCTAGCAGAGGCATATGCCTGCAAACGCACGCACAAACGACAAGGCATGTATAGATGGGAGGACGCGCACGCTTCCGTGCCTGGGCCAGGTGGAGGGCGGGCTCCGCCAGGGACGGCTTGGGGTTAGGCCTGACTTTCCTCTCTGTGCCCTCACTCCCAGGAGGGTCCCCAGTGGCTCCACGTGCGGGACTTCGATCGGCTGCTGCGCGAGTCGCAGCGGGAGGTGCTGCGGCTGCAGAGGCAGATCGCCTTGCGCAACCAGCAGGGGCCACCTCCGCCGCCCCGGCCTCCAGGCCCCGCAGTCCCGGTCACCAGAGCAGGGGCACCGGCCCCTGGGGCCCCGGGAGAGGTGAGCGTCGGCGCCAGGGCAGGTGTGTGGGTGTGTGCAGGTGAGGGGTGGGAGCGACCCCAGGATCTCCCCCTGCATCGCGCTCAGAGCCCGGCGAACCCTGTGGTGCCGTGCGCGCACTCCCAATGTCTGGAGAGCTTTCCCGACCTGGCGCAAGGCCCTCTCCAAGCCACAAGAGCTCATACCTGTGCCGCGCCCGCCCCCGAGTGTTCCGGGGTTCCGCCCTCCGGAGACCTGCGTCCTGCGGGGCCCGCCCGGCCGCCCCTGCCGCGCCGCCAGTGGTACGGCCCGGCAGCAAATCCCTGGTTGCCCTGGCAGCCGCCCGGGGCCCAGCCCGCGCTGCCTCCTCCCGCCGCCGCGGTAGAGCGGGGACGCCCCCTTCAGAGCCGGTCCGGCCCGCCAGGCCTGGCCCCGGCTTCTTGGGGGCGGCGGTGCATCTGCCCGGGCTCCAGGTACAGGCGACCCTCCCTGCGCTGGGGCTCAGGCGGCCCTTGTCCCCAGGGCCAGGAACCTTCTCCAGACCCCCTGAACTTCGGGGTCTGGCTCCTCTCCATCATCCCAGGTGGGCAGCACGTAGGCCCACCTCCTTCTGGGAAGAGGGATGGGAGGAGGGGACCCGGTGGTACCAGGGCCTCTGGGTGGGGGGTGCTTCTTGCTCAGATTTTGCTCCTCTGCCTGGCCCAGGGAGAGCGAGGCAGCTCCCTTCAAGCCCCTTGCCCTCTTGAGGTTTGTGTGGATAAATGGAAATGGGATAGGGGTGGGCTTGGAGGAGCCAGGGAGGGGTCTGGCCAGGCTTGCATCGCTCTAGGCCAAGCCTAGATTCGGGTGATCCAAACCCCCTAGCTCGGGGAACACGGTATCCCCCGGGGCCAGAGCAGTCTCCTAGCTCTCTGCCCGCTCTCCTAAAGGACACCCAGGACAGTTATTGAGTACAGAGCAGGGCTGCTGCTGGAAGCTAAAAAGGGAAAGCTTTGGCCTGGATAAAGGAGCTGTCTCTCAGGGCACAGGCAGGTCCCAGGATCTCAAAGCACTTACAGTGTAGGGGCACCAGGGGCAGCCTCTAGACTTCTACATCAGCTGGAGATGGTGGGAGGGGGTGGCCAGGCAGCTCCCCTCTCCCCTGGCAGGGGTCTTGCTGCTCACTGTACCATGAGGTGGGGACACCCCGTTTCCCCCCACCCCCCCACTCCCCACATCTCTACAGGCAGGCCAGGCTGGGAGCAGGCTGCCCTGGGGCCCTGTTTCAGGTGCCAGCCCCTGCCCCTGGGCATTTCCAGGCCGCATCCCAGCAGGATGTGGACAACCCAGCGGTGGTCCTAGGGGAGCCAGAGAAACAGCAGAGGGTGCAGCAGCTGGTAAGTGCGCAGGGTGGAGGCTGGAGGTGACCCGCCATGGGCAGATCTGCCTTCCCCCATGAGGAGCCCTGGATTCTGACCCCACAGGAGTCGGAGCTCAGCAAGAAGCGGAAGAAATGCGAGAGCCTGGAGCAGGAAGCCCGGAAAAAGCAGAGGCGATGTGAGGAGCTGGTGAGCTCTGGAGGGCCGCCCGGGCGGCCAGGCGGGGGGCTCCCGGTCAGTGGTCAGTGCTGCCGTCACCCCCTCTGCCCACTGCGAGACCCCACTGTTCCGCGTGCTCCGCGAGGCTTTCCTTTCCTGGCTGATGCAGGGGAGGAAGGCTCTGCCTGGGCGGGCAGGGGACTGTCTGTGGGGAGAGGCGCGCCGTGGGTGTTGGGCACCCTCCACAGAGCTCCCATGCCCCTGCCCCAGGAGCTGCAGTTGAGAGAAGCCCAGAACGAGAATGCCCGCCTGGCGGAGGAGAACTCGCGGCTGCACGGGAGAGCCACAGAGAAGGAGCAGGTGCCAGTTCTGCCCGCGTGCGCTAAGGGCCTGGGCCCCCAACAAGGGGCACGTGCCTAGGGTCGGGTATACAGAGCTCTGTTCCCCTTGGTGAGGGAGCTGGTGGGACAAGGCCACACGCCCAGCTCCCTGCCGCTGCCCCCTTGCCAGGTGGAGTGGGAGAATGCGGAGCTGAGGGGCCAGCTCCTGGGGGTGACGCAGGAGAGGGACTCAGCCCTTCGCAAGAGTCAGGGCCTGCAGAGCAAGCTGGAGAGCCTGGAGCAGGTGCTGAAGGTGAGGGCCTGCGTGTTTAGGGGAGGGCACTGGGCCCTGGGACAGCAGATGTGGCCTGTGTGTGGCACTGCCAGCCCCCCTCCTCCAGCCCAAGTCCCCTTTCCCAGAGGGGGTGTGGAGCAAATGGTACCCAAGGCTCCCTCGTCTTAAGATTTTTCTGTAGAAACTGGAGCTGGGGACATTGGCCTTGACCCAGGGTCTTGTGCTTCAGCATATGCGGGAGGTGGCCCAGCGGCGGCAGCAGCTGGAGGTGGAGCATGAGCAGGCTCGGCTCAGCCTGCGGGAGAAGCAGGAGGAGGTCCAGAGGCTGCAGCAGGTATGGGCAGCAGTGAGGGAAGCGCCACCACCTCACCACCCCCTCACCCGCCCGACTGGCGTCTGTGGAGCACCTGCTGTGTGCCAGGCCCTGTGCTAGGTGCTGGGTGAGACAGTGGTGAAGAAAGACCAAGTCCTGTCCAAGCAGCTAATAAGCAGATCCTTGAATGAGCCGATTCCAGACACCGACAGCGAGATGGGGGAGATGAGCAGGCTGATGCGACAGTGACTGGGACTGGATGAGGAGCCACTTTAAGGAGGTCAACAGGGCAGGCCTCCCTGTGGAAGCGACGAGTGAGCTGAGACCTCAAGGGCAAGAAGGAGCCAGCCAGGAGGGCCAGGGGAGGGCAGGCCAGGTGGGAGGAATGGCTGTGCAGGTGCTCTGTGGTCGGGGAGAGCTGGATCTGGGACCAGTGTAGTTAGGATACGGCAAGGGGTGCCAAGGAGCAGGAAAGAGCCAGAAGCTTTGGGGTGTCCAGGCCGCGGCAAGAGTGTGGGTGTTTTGCACTATGAACGGGTAGAGGCTGTTGTATGTGGCACTTCAAAGATCTAAGCAGGGGAGTAACAGGATCTGGTTGGTAACTGTCGAAGAGCACATTGTTGGCGCTGTGTGGCTGCTCTGTGGAGGCAGGCGTGGAGCAGGGAACGCCGGGGCTGGCAGTGGTCCGGGCGCAGGTGACGGGTCGTCTGCAGAGCGGGGACAAGTGGGCAGACTCAGAATGGAGTCTGGGGACAGAGCTGACAAGACTGACGGTGGGGTTACAGCTGAGTCCCTCCTGTGTCACCATTTGCTGTGTGCACCTGCTGGGGGTGGGCGAGGGGACAGGGCAGCAGATCTGGGAGGCCCGGGAGTCCCAAGTTCTGAGCTCTGCCTTGGTCAAGTCCGTGTTGCGTGTTAAACATGCAGGTGGCCGTGGCCGTGGACAATTGGGTGTGTGAGTGTGGGGGTGGGGAGGAGCGGTTCTGGGAGGTATTTGGAGTCCTTGGTGTGTTTAGCTGCGTGACTAGATGGGACCCCCTTGGGAGAGAGGGGAGGGCAAAGAATGGCCCATTACAGTGTCCTGGGCACCCTGACCTTCAAAGTTGGAGAAGACAAAGGGCAGGCTAGAGAGACTAGGAAGGAGGAAACCAGGAGGGTGGAGTTCCAGACAGAGAGGGAAGCGGTCAGGCACAGCAGCTGCCTGGCCCCTTTGCCTCTGGTCTAAGATCTCGTCCAGGGTGGGAGCCAGGGAGGGAGAAACCCTTCAGCCACCGCCCTCCCCGGCGCCCTCTCCTTCTCTCTCGAGCCTTGTCTCGCCACCCGCTATTTCCTCCCCTCCTCCACCCCCTCCCGCATTCTGCCTCCTCCCACTTGCAGGCCCAGGCAGAAGCCAAGAGGGAACATGAAGGCGCCGTGCAGCTGCTGGAGGTAGGGGCCCGGAGGAGGCCACCAGTCCCCCCACCTTGGGAGGGAGGCGGTGGCTTTAGATAGCTGCTGTGATGGACAGCGGGTTGTAGGAGGGGCCTTCAAATGCTCCAGGGCCTGGGGGAGACCCTCCGCCATGGGCCCATTTCTCCGGCTGGGGCCTGGCAGGGCTGGGGGGCTCCTGGGCTTGGGGGCAGCAGCCTCCGTTGCCACCCCCGGGGGCTGCCTTCAGCCTCCTTCCAGCTGGGCACTGCTGAGTCAGCCCAGGGAGCTAACTGGCTGGAGTGCCCTGAGCGGCTCCTCTTTCTCCCTCCCTCCCCGGGTCGGTGACCTACAGGGCTAAGGGTTCTAACCTGTCCTCTGCACTTTCCTTCCCTGCCGCAGTCCACCTTGGATTCCATGCAGGTACAGCCCCCGGGTCCCCCCGCCCCCCTCCCCACACCTCTCTGGGCTGGCCGAGCTGCGGCTCTTCCCTTGGGGCCAAAGCAGCCCCGGCTCTCATGTCCAACAGAGTGGGCATCACTGGCACAGACCCGGGAATCCTTAGGTGGGCTGGGGTCCCCTCCTCCCAGGCCTGCGGCTGTGTCTGGCCGACGTGGGGTGGGGCTGCCCTCCGCTCATTACCAGTTGGCTCATGGTGCTGGGGGTGTTGGCCAGGAGCAAGCCCCGGAGCTCAGGACTCTCTGGATGCCTTCTGGGGAACTGGCCCGATTCCATCTCAAAGTGTCCCCGGCTCCTGTCTGTCCTTGCTGTGGGCAGGGATTTGGTTGTCGGCGGTGGGAGGGTGGTGAGGGGCGGGGCTGACATGACAGTGCTGGCCAGCAGTGATGTCCCACAGCCCTGGACTTCGCCCTCAACTCAGACACCGTTGAGGGCAGTGGGAGCAAGCCCGGCCGAGGGTTGGGTGGGTGTGCACTGAAGCCTGGTGTGGTGATGGCACAGGCTGGCACCGGGCAGCTTTGCCAGGCCTGGTGGCTCATGGTGGGTCTTGGCGCAGGCCCGGGTTCGAGAGCTCGAGGAGCAGTGCCGGAGCCAAACCGAGCGCTTCAGCCTCCTGGCGCAGGAGCTCCAGGCCTTCCGCCTGCACCCTGGCCCCTTGGATCTGCTCACATCCGCTCTGGGCTGTGGTGCCCTCGGAGACCAGCCACCACCCCCCTGCTGCTGCTCTACCCCCCAGCCCTGCCAGGGGTCTGGCCCCAAAGGTAAGGCAGACTGCAGAGACGCTGACCTGGGATCCCGGGGCCTAAAGAGCAGGGAGGTGAGAAGCAGAGGACAGCAACTCATCCAACGTTACAGAGCAAGTTAGAGCCGTGCCTGGCCAGAACCGGGCTCTGATGGGGGAAAGCAGAGCCCACAGGAGCGACTGCTCTGGAGTCTGGCCCAGGCATCCCAGGCTCCTTTTCCTTCCCCGCCAACAAGACCTCTGTGGTCATGGCTGGGAATTGGACGGTAAGTTGGCAGCAGGCAGCGTGGCCTTGTGAGAAGTCAGGGCCTGGGAGAGGTCAGATCTGGGGGTCCCAGCTCCCTTCACTCAGCAGCCGTGTGATCGTGAGCAGCTGTGTACCCTCCGGTTTATAAGCCAGGAGGCCCTATGCTGTAACACATGCATCGCGTGCAGCTGCTCTCTAGAGCTTATGAAATCACAGTTGTGAGTCTCCTGCATCTCTGCTCAGTCAATTTCCCTTATGGAAAGAAACTTGGATCTGGAGGGCCTGACTCCCATAATCCAAGAGGCTCCGCCCTGTCTCTGGGGTCCCACCTCAGGCCACACACCCCCAGCCCACCTGCCGTCTTCTCTTTAGACCTTGACCTCCCGCCAGGCTCTCCAGGGCGCTGCACCCCAAAGTCTTCTGAGCCCGCCCCTGCCACTCTCATTGGAATCCCTCGAAGGTCAGCCAAGAAAGCCGAGTCTCTCTCCAACTCCTCTCGCTCCGAATCTGTCCACAACAGCCCCAAGTCATGCCCTACGCCCGAGGTCAGTACTGGGGAGGGGCACTGGTTTTGGGGGAGAGGGAGAGACAGGTGGCTGTGACCTCCCCAGGCCCCCAGGAGCTGGGAGTGGACTGCCCACTGTGGTCAGGGAGCTCGGGTGGAGCCTGTTCCCGCTCTCCAGGGCCTGCTGCAAGCCCCACCCTCCGGCAGCCCTGGGAGGCCGTGGTTGGCTGTTGGAGATACGGCAGTGCTGGGATCTGGCTGTGGCAGAGCACGTGGGAAACAGCCACCAGGACTGAAATCCCAGCTCTGTCTTAGAGGAGCCCCTGACCTTTACTGGGCTTGTTTCTTTCTTTCTTTTCTTTTTAGTGTAATTTTTTTTGAAATTTTAAAAAAGATTTATTTGCTTATTTGAGGGGTAGAGTTAACAGAGAGGGAGAGACACAAAGAAAGGTCTCCACACACTGGTTCACTCCCCAAATGCCCACAACGGCCAGAGCTGGGCTGACCCGAAGCCAGGAGCCAGGAGCTTTTTCCTGGTCTCCCCTGTGAGTGCAGGGGCCCAAGGACTTGGGCCATCTTCTACTGCTTTCCCGGGCCATAGCAGAGAGCTGGATCAGAAGAGGAGCATCTGGGACTTGAACCGGTGTCCATATGGAATGTGGGTGCTGCAGGCAGAGGCTTAGCCCACTATGCCACAGCGCTGACCCGGGCTTCAGTTTCGTGATCTGAATGCCGGGGCTAATGAACCGCCTTCTGAGGTGCTTGTGAATCCAGATGACCTACAAAACCATGAGCAGAGTGTCTGTTTCATGGGGACACCCGGCTGATCCCAAAGCGCGGCTGCTGTGATCATCTTTCTTGGCCGTCACTCACAGCTCTTTTGATCCTCTCGTTCCTTGTTCTACCTATAAACCCCAGAAAACGAAGGGGGCAGATCAGGAGCAGCTCTGCTCTCCAGGGTTTCAGAAAGTGGTAGAAACCGCCCCGGGCCTCTACTGCCCCCTGATGGGAAAGGAAGTTGCTGCTGGCTTTGGAGATGGCAATGAGGGGCTGCCTGCTGGTGCCAGGCCTTGGCAGAAAAGATAAGAAAGCCTGTTCCCAGGCCAGCCCCAGCAATCTGAACTAGGGTCGGAGGATCAGGGGCACTCTAAGACGTGGGCTAGGCAAGTGGACAGGAAGTTCTGAGCTCCAGGGCTAAACCGCCGTAGTAGTGTGGCCAGGTGAGAGGCAGGGACTTCTCCAGGCACTTCCTGCCTCCTTGCTTCCAGCTCCTTATAACTGGGGTGCTTTGCTGCGTTTGTACCAATGACACCCGCTCCCTACATTGGCGGTGGGTGGGGGGCGACGACCTTATTTACTGGCTTTGCTGCAGCTGTGTCCAGGCTGCAGGCTCGCCCCACGCACCCTGCCCAGGGCATCTGGGCTCATCCAGGACCTGCCGGCCCAAGACCTGATCTCGAAGTTGTTGGGGGCTCCTTGCTGCTGGCCTTGTCCAGCACGCATGCGCTCATCTTCCCTCCTCAGAGTGTGGGGTGCTCCTCCTCCAGCCTGGAGACCTGCCCGTGCTGCCTCTGGCCCAGGGCCTTGGAGAGGAGCCAGCCCTTTCTGTCTGCCCCCAGGTGGATACCGCCAGCGAGGTGGAAGAGCTGGAGGCAGACAGTGTCTCCCTGCTCCCAGCAGCACCGGAGGGTGGCCGGGGAGGAGCCAGGATCCAGGTCTTCCTGGCACGCTACAGGTGAGCCTCTCACCCTCATCTCACCTTGCCCCCCACTCAGCATCTGGGGTGGATGGGAGGAGGGGGCTGGGACAGAGACGTCTGGAGGTGGTGGGGACAGCACAGAGACCCCAGTGGGATATGATCTCGTGATCTCACTGGGGCAAGACAGGCACCATGAGCACTGCACTGGCTAAGGTGGTTGGCCGGTCTCCGTGAATGACAGTGGGGGAGGGAAGGCAGGCATGGGACTCCACCTCCCTCCTCCCCCTCCTCTGTTCCTCCTCCGACAGCTACAACCCCTTCGAGGGCCCCAATGAGAATCCAGAGGCAGAGCTGCCGCTGACAGCTGGCGAGTACATCTATGTCTACGGAAGCATGGACGAGGATGGGTTTTTTGAAGGTATGACAGCAGTAGGGGGTCGTGCTGTCCATTCCGTTGCTAATGAGCCCCGGTTCCCTCCATTCAAATGCCCCCTCTCCCCAGCTCGCTCGGCCTACCATACTTTTCAGACTTGGCTAAGAGGCATGTGGAGACCTGGCTGCCCGTGGGGAGAGAGGAAGAAGGGAACACTGGGCCTCACCAGAGATCTGGCCTCAAGCAGGCCAGGCCAGGCCAGGCCAGTGGGGAGTTCTGTCGTGATTCCTTTGTGTGCTGGTAGTCGGGGGCAGGCCGTGCTCAGCCCTGGAGACACTCAAGGTCGGGCACGTAGCACAGATTTGATGCTGGATGCCACTCAGGTACGGGGAGGAGAAAATCGGGTCTCGAGTTCAGGCGAAGGTGTAGACAAGTGTTAGCACGGGAGCTTCACGAAGGCTCTCCAGTTGCCATGGGGTAGCCACAGGGCTCATGAGGCAAGTGTGGTAGGTGCCCCACTGAGACCGGGCAGCAGGGCAGGGCCTGTGGAAGGAATGGCCAGGGAGACTTCCCCAGGCTGGCCTTGGCCTAGGTGCCGGGCTGCACCCTCAGCAGTGAGGGGGACCACCCTGGGTAGGGCCTGGGTGAGGCACAGACGGGGCAGGGCGAGGACTGCAAGTGCACATAGAGGGCCCAGGAAAGGGATTAGTGGGAGGCAGCAGGGACTCCCCTGGGGCCGCCTGGCCCAGGGCCGGGGAGAGACACCCCAGAGCCTGCTCAGCAGCTTGCCTTGGGCACCCACTGGGAATGGCGATATCTGGTTTTGAGGCTCAAACAGCTAAATTCCCCAGAGGAGCAGATTCTGAAGAGCAGGATTAAGTAGCTTCCCAGGGAAAAAGCAAAGCAAAGACAATCCTAAATACCTTTTTTTTGGAGGGAGGTGGCAGAAGCCTCAGGATAAACTCACCCCAGATGACGAGAATTTGAACTGTACAGTCAGGGTACATGGGGCTGGATGGCAAGGGCTGTGGAGAGCTGGGCGTAGGATCCCATCTTCCCCGTCCAGCTTTAGCCACGGGGCTGCTCCTCACCGTTCTCAGTGGCCTGCGTTTCCAGCTTGGGCCCAGGCTCAGCTGCCACCTTGCGGGCTGTAGATTTGCATGGTGCCAGGGCTCCGGCTTTAGCTGCGCTGTAGTTCTAGTGCTCACATCAGCTTCCCAGGGCTGCCCTAACACATGCCCCCCAGCCACGTGGCCCCAGGGGAGTCCCTGCCCTTGTCCCAGCCTCTGGTGGTGCCAGGTGTTGCGTGGCTGTGACCACGTCACTCAGACGTCTGTGTCCGTGGCCCCCTTGCCTGCGCCTCTTCTTTCTGGGTCTCTGTCTCTTCTGAGGACGCTTGTTAGACTTAGAACCCACCCAGATAATCTGCAATGATCTCGTCTCAAGGTCCTTCATGTGGGGCTGGCGCCATGGCTCACTTGGTTAATCCTCTGCCTGCGGCACCGGCATCCCATATGGGCACTGGGTTCTGGTCCTGGTTGCCCCTCTTCCACTCCAGCTCTCTGCTGTGGCCTAGAAAGGCAGTGGAGAATGGCCCAAGGGCGTGGGCTCTGTACCCGTATGGGAGACCAGGAGAAGCACCTGGCTCCTGGCTTCCAATCCGTGCAACGCCGCTCATAGTGGCCATTTGGGGAGTGAACCAACGGAAGGAAGACCTTTCTCTCTCTCTCTCTCTCTCACTGTAACTACCTGTCAAATAAAAAAAAAAAAAAAAAAAAAAAAAGATCCTTCACATAAATGCATGGGCAAAGGTCTTTCTCCAAATAAGGTCACGCTCACAGTGTCTAGAGATTAAGACATATTTGGATGACTGCCATTCTACTCATTGTAATCAGATCATAAATTATATGTTCTAATTAAAAATATTTATTTAGTTATTTGACAGAGGGAGGGAGGGAGGGAGGGAGGGAGGGAGGAAGAGAGAGAGAGAGAGAGAGAGAGAGAGAGAGATATCTTCCATTTGCTGGTTCATTACCCAAATGCCTGCAACAGCTAGGGCTGAGCCAGGCCAAAGCCAGGAACCATGAACTCCATCCGGGTCTCTCACTTAAGTGGCAGGGACCCAAGTACTTGGGCCACTTTCTGCTACCTTCCCAGGCTCATTAACAGGAAATTGGATGGGAAGCAGAGGAGTTTGAACTTGACCAGCTCTCCAATATGGGATGCAGGCATCCCAAGCGGAGGCTTAACACACTGTACCACAGGGCCAGCCCATGATCTAATTTATTGAGATTCCATATTGTATCCTTATTTAAATTAAGTTTCCTTACTTTTTTTTGGTTCTCCTGCACAAGCGGGGGGGGGGGGCAATGGCTGCCAGGCACCCTTGCACTCAGTTCGGCTGACCCCCACCCCTGCCCTGAACCCTGGCCTCCACGTCCCCTTCCTCCCAGCTGTTCCCTGAGGATCTTTTTCCTTCTTTAACGTGCCTGTGATGTGACGTGCTGTGTGCCTAGCTCCTTTCTTCCTTACGTCCCTCAGACACCACCCCCAGACACGCTGCCTGCACCTTCCAGACTGACGCAGGCAGCCAAGCTGACCGCTGGTCCTGCTCGTAGACAGGGGCCTGTGTGGGTCCCAGCACCCACAGGGACTCCAGTCTCCGGCAGACACGTCCCTCCCGCTCCCTTCCCTGCCCATAGTGGTGGGTGGCTCTCCCTGCCCAGCTGGCTGGCTGTTTCTCCCAGAGGGAAGTCGAGGCCCCCCCATCCTGGCCCCAATCCTCGGGCCTGTATAAAATCTGCTATGGGAGCGTCACTGTGTTTCTTCAACTTGACCCGATAGCTCTCGAAGACTAGCACAGTAAACAGGCCCACAGCTGCTACCACTGGGCTGCGTGTGCTCTATTCATACGTGCCCCATAGAGCCTGGTCCTTCCACATCCTGCCAGCGTCAGCCCTGCCCGGAGCCTGGTGAGACGAGGGCTCAGCTCCGCCCTGCCTGAATCAGACTCTGCTTGTTAATAAATCTCGGCCTGGTGAACTGGAAGCAGCTTCACTCTAGATAACCAGAACCCTGACGCCACCCTCAGGGCGACGGCAGTGCCCGTCCTTGTAGCTGCACACATGGGTACAGGCTGACTTGCCGCTGCCCTCATACATTCGCTGGACCGGCTTTCTTTCTCTCTTTGTCTTCCCCTTCCCTACCCCTTCCTGTCCCTCCTCTGCCAGGGGAGCTCATGGATGGCCGACGGGGCCTGGTCCCTTCCAATTTTGTCGAGCGCGTGTCCGATGACGACCTCCTGACCTCCCTGCCTCCGGAGCTGGCCGATCTGTCCCACAGCTCAGGCCCCGAACTCAGTTTCCTGAGCGGAGCTGGGGGCGGCAGCAGCAGTGGGGGGCAGAGCAGCGGGGGCCGCAGCCAGCCCAGGCCCGAGGAGGAGGAGAAGGAGGCCGCAGCGGAGGAGCTCAGTGGGAGCCCCCAGCCCGAGGGTCTGGGCGAGCCTCCCGCCGTGCCTTATCCCCGCCGCCTGGAGGTTCTCAAGCAGCTGGCCCACAGCGTGGTGCTGGCCTGGGAGCCGCCGCCGGAGCGAGTGGAACTGCACGGCTTCCGTATCTGCGTGAACGGGGAGCTACGTCAGGCCCTGGGGCCCGGGGCGCCCCCTAAGGCTGTGCTTGAGAACCTGGACCTGCGGGCCGGGCCCCTGCATGTTTCTGTGCAGGCGCTGACCAGCAGGGGCGGCTCGGACCCTCTGCGCTGTTGTCTGGCCTTGGGTGCCGGGGCTGGGGTGGTCCCTAGCCAGCTGCGGGTCCATAGGCTGACAGCCACGTCTGCTGAGATCACCTGGGTGCCTGGCAACAGCAACTTGGCCCATGCCATCTACCTCAATGGGGAGGAGTGTCCGCCTGCCCGCCCCAGCACCTACTGGACCACCTTCTGCAACCTGCGGCCTGGCACACTCTACCAGGCCCGAGTGGAGGCCCAGCTCCCACCCCGCGGGTCCTGGGAGCCAGGCTGGGAGAAGCCGGAGCTACGAGCTGCCTCCCTGCAGTTCACCACCCTCCCGGCAGGTGCGTGGGCTTGAGCGCTGGCGTCCGGAACCCGGGCCCGTGGGTGGTGGTGGGAGGGGCACCTGGCCCTGTTTCCAGCATTGGGGACGTGGCAGAGTGGGCTGGACTTCCTGGCCAGGAGCGTCTTAACGTTAGTGGGTCTTGTGCCCTGCTACCCCAGGCCCACCTGATGCCCCCCTGGATGTGCAGATCGAGCCAGGGCCCTCCCCTGGAATCTTGATCATCAGCTGGCTTCCGGTCACCATCGATGCTGCCGGGACCTCCAATGGTGTCCGGGTCACGGGCTATGCCATCTATGCCGACGGGCAAAAGGTATGGCCTGGGGACTCCACCTGCCTGGACCCTGGGAACGGGATGTGGGTCCTTGCTGTGTTCAGAGGCCTGGTCTCCTAGACCTGGCCCCCAGAGGCCCAGTCCCTGGCATTTGGGCGCTGTGTGGCAGATTGGTTAAGAGCATGGGCTTGGGCAGCGTGTGATGGATTTGAAAGTGGCTGCAGCACTGACACCATGTGGCCAGGAGCACTGCGATCAGGTGTGCGGAAGGCTGAGCTGAGGCGTGATGCGTCCTCCACTCGGCCGCTCAGCCTTCCCTCTCCCTCCTGTGCTCCCTTGGCCCTGCAGATCATGGAGGTGGCCTCGCCCACCGCAGGCAGCGTGCTGGTGGAGCTGTCCCAGCTGCAGCTGCTGCAGGTGTGCCACCAGGTCACCGTGCGCACCATGTCGCCCCACGGCGAATCGGCTGACTCCATCCCCGCTCCTGTCGCCTCGGCCCTATCTCCAGCCTGCCTGCTTGCCAGGGTCTCCTGCCCCTCACCACGACCTAGCCCAGAGGCCAGACCACCTCCTGCTCCGGCCTCCCCAGGGCTTGGAGACCCCAGCTCTCCCCTCCGGTGCCCTGCTCCCCATGGAACTCAAGATCCACCAGGGGGGCCTCCAACAAGCCCTGGCAGAGAGACGCCAAGGGGACCCCGAGAGGAACCGCTAGCGCCTTGCTCCCAGGTACCCTGTCTGGGGAGACTGGGAGCAGGTACAGGCTGGAGGGAGGGGCTGGGCACGTCCTCAGTGTCCTGCATTCCAGGGGGAAGCTGGGGGAGCTGCTCTGGGCACTGCAGAGCGGGGCACCGGCGAGCCAAGCCTGGCTGAGGGAGGCCCTGGCCCTGCGGCTCCCTCCCTGGCCAAGCAGGAAGCTGAGTGGACTGCGAGAGAGGCCTGCCTGGCCCCCTGCTCCAGGCAGGGGGCACTGGTGCAGAGGACGCCCGGTACTGAGGCCTGCTGCGGAGGAGATGCAGGGTCGGCGCTGAGAACTAGGGCCGAGGTAGGGGTTGGGGACCCACTGGACCACCTCAAACAATCGAGGCCTGTCTCCCTGTGTCTGCCCTCTGCCAGCACAGATCTGGGCACCCTCTTGGCTTGGCCCCTGCTCTGGCTCTGCAGCCGTTTCTTTGTTACATCTCACTGCACAGCTTTCTCTCTCTGGTTTGGTTCTGGTCCTCCGGCCTCTCCCTCCCCCCCCCCCCCCCGCCACCTCATGCACACCCCACTCTGGGCATGGCTCTTTTTCCCTCTGCCAAGGAACCTTGTTTTAAAAAATTATTTGTATTTATTTAAAATGCAGAGGGACAGAGAGCTCCTCTCTGCTTGCTAGTTCTTTCCCCAAATGCCTGCAAAGCCAGTGCTGGGCCAAGCTGAATCCGGGATCCAAGAACTCCATCTGGGTCTCCCACACGAGTGGCAGGGACCCGAGTGCTTGAGCCATCCCTTGCTGCCTCCCAGGGCGTGCATTAGCAGGAGGCTGGAGTCAGGACTCTAACCCAAGCACTTTGATAAGACGCGTGGGCGTCCCAAGCAGTGTTTTAACCACTAGGCAAGACAGCCGCCCTGCGGCCCCTCGGTGCCCTGCCCTTGCTTGCCTCTTGCAGAGGGAGGACACGGCAGAGCTCGGGGGTCGTCTGGTGAACCCCCTTGTGGATCACGGCCGCAACTCAGACCTGTCAGATATCCAGGAGGAGGAGGAGGAGGAAGAAGAGGAAGAGGAGCTGGGTTCTAGGACCCGTTCCTTCCAGAAGCAGGTTGCTGGCGACAGCACCAGGGAGAGTGGGGCCAAGGTAACGGGGTTGCGGGGGGGACTGGTGGGCCCCAGACCTCACGGGCCAGGGCCTCCGCCCCTTGTGTCAGCAGCTGCTCCCGCCGCCGCTGAGTGCCAGCAGCGTTCTAGGTGTGTGGCGTGGGCCCTGTCTTAAGCAGCAGGTGTGGATAGGCCTAAAAGTGGCCTCTGCCCTCCTGGGGAGAAAGGGGGAGGAGGCAGTGCTTTTCTTCTGAGCCTTCTCTGGCTCCAGCCCATCAGGCCCAGGGCTGTAGCAGGGGGAGGGTTGGGAATGGCCTCTGTGCCATGACAGGCATGGCGGCTGCCCAGTGCGGGCAAACCCCTGTTCCTTGGGTGTATTCTCCAATTCTCCCTGGTTCTGTCTGGACCAGCCACTGTCCCTCTGGTTCTTTCTTCTTAGAGGAATCTGGGGGAGGGCTGTAGGGCTGTCCTAACCCCTGCCCTCATTTGGGGGCAAAGGTCACACCTCCCTCCTCTCCCCCCACGGACCCCTCTTCCCTGCCACCCTCCACTGCTCCCCCACCCCAGCCCCAGCCTGACCCCTTTTGTGAGACTGACAGTGATGAGGAGATCCTGGAGCAGATCCTGGAGCTGCCCCTCCAGCAGTTCTGCAGCAAGGAGCTCTTTAGCATCCCAGAGGAGGAGGAGGAGGAGGAAGAGGAAGACGAGGAGGAGGAGCAGCGGCGGGCAGGCCATTCTTCCAGAGCCCCTGGGCCGCCTGAACCTGCTCTGCTGGGGCTTGGCTGTGACGGCGGCCAGCCCCAAGGACCCGGCCTGTGTTCCTTGGCTGCAGAGCCCTCCAGGGGCGGGGACCGCCTGGAGGACGTGCCTGGAGTAGTTGGCGGAAGCAGCCGGAGGAGAGGAGGGGGCTCCCCGGAGAAGCCCCCGAGCCGCAGGCGGCCTCCAGACCCCCGTGAACACTGTAGCCGGCTCCTTAGCAGCAGCGGGCCCCAGTGTCCTGGGCGGCCGGGCCCCACGCGGGAGAGGGGCGGCTCCTCAGTTGTTGAGGGCACCAAGGTTGGCCTTGAGGCTGGCGGGAGAGGTCGGCTGGCTCCTTCCCGAAGGTGCCCGCGAGGCCGGGCCCCGGAATCCGGCCTGGCCAGCTGCCTCTCCCCCAAATGCTTGGAAATCAGCATCGAGTATGACTCCGACGATGAGCAGGAGGCGGGCAGTGGGGGCGTCAGCATCAGCAGCTCCTGCTACCCTGGAGACGGGGAGGCCTGGGCCACTGTACCTGGAGCCAGGCCCAGGGGCCCTGTGAAGGCCAGTCCAGGCCCCAGCCCCTCCTCCCGCCTCCCAGCCTGGGAGAAAGGGGAGCTGGAACGGAGAGGCCGCAGCACGACTGGCAGAGCCAAGGAGCCCCCCTCGCGGGTCCGTGCCCACTTCCCAGCCTGGGCAGCCCCCTGCCTGCTGTGGGCTGGTGGCCCTGCTTGCTGCCTACTAGCCACTCCCATTCCACGCTGCTGCTCCATCCGCAGAGGTGGGGCCGGGCCGCCGGGCTCTCCCATGCGCTCCTCCCACCCACATTCCCACTGCTTTGCTGCTTCGGCTGACCGCAGCTGGGATGCGCAGTGCTCGGGCGTCGGGCGTCGGGCGTCACCTTTGGCTGCCTTTGTGGGGTTAGCCTTGTCTTCAGGACACCAACTGTGGCGCCGTGGCCAGAGCCACCTATTCCTGGCATTGCCAGGGGGCCTCCTCTCCACGCCCCTCAGCCAAGTCCAGTCCCCTCCACTGCACTCCCCCTCTCGGGGGGCTGGGGCCCCATCCTGTGTGCCCCCCAGGGGTCTCTGGGGAGGCTGGGAGAGAACTGCTGTGCTGCTGCTCTGCTGTGCTGTGCTGCTGCTGCTGCTGCTGCTGACGGGCAGAGCTGGGGAGTGTGGGCGGGGTCCTCTCCCCACTCAAGGGCCCACGGGAAGGACGCTGTGTCACCTCTGCCCTCTGCCACCGTCTCTTTGCAGGCAACAGAGCCTGGGGAACCCAGAATGCAGGACAGCTCTGGGAGGAGGGGCTTCCAGCGGAGAGGGGCCCGGGGCCCCCGGCCAGGTGCCACAGAGCTGGGTGAGTGCCTGCCTGGGGTGGGGCGGGCTAGGCTTGGGGTGGGGGCGCCTTTCCTGACCCTGTGAGTGGAGCTCATCGAGTCACTGTGCTGTCCCCAACCCTCTGCACAGCCCCTCTGAGGAGCCCTCCAGAAACACTGGCTTCCCAGGACCTGCCTGTCAGGGTCTTTGTGGCCCTGTTTGATTATGACCCCGTGTCGATGTCACCCAACCCCGACGCTGGAGAAGAGGAGCTCCCGTTCCGGGAGGGCCAGGTCCTGAAGGTGACTGCACCGCCCTCCAGGCACCGAGCCCCAAACCCCAGTCGGAGTCTTGCCCGGCGCCCAAGGGATCCGAGCTGCGGTGCAGGACGTGGCGCCCTCAGCCAGCGCATGTGGGCTTGGGCCCTGCCCCTGGCGCTTCTAGCTCTGTGACCTCGCCCAGATTACTTGGGTTCCTCACTGGTAAAATGGGGACAGTGTGAGTGTCCAGCGCACGGGCTTGTCTGTGGATTATGATTCCGTGTGCCTTAAGTGCGTGAACACCAGGCTGCTCCATGATTTTGCCAAGTGTTGACTGAAGGCTCTGTGCTGCTCCAAGGTTCCGGGGCTGCAGGCTGGGGTGCGGTGGGGAGCAGGCCTTGCGGGCGTTGGCCGCTGATGCCACAGAAAGTCATTTTCCCTGAGCCCTGTGATCCTTGCTCGATTTCTATCCCACGGCCAGCAGGAGGAGCGTGGCATGTGCCCTTCTGCAGCCCCCAGAGCGGGAGCTGCTGGCCTGAGGGCCTGCGGTGCAGGGAGCAAGCCCAACTGGCCTCCCGAGACAACTGGTCTCCGCCGCCAGGTGTTTGGGGACAAGGATGCCGATGGCTTCTACCGGGGTGAAGGCGGAGGCCGCACGGGCTACATCCCCTGCAACATGGTGGCTGAGGTGGCCGTGGACAGTGCCGCGGGGAAGCAGCAGCTGCTCCAGCAGGGCTACCTGGCTGCAGAGACCCTCCCCGAGGCCTCAGGTAGGACCTGCCGCTCCTCCCCACCTGCCTCCCGCCACAGCAGGTGCAGCCCGGACCCTCCTGAGTGGCTCTGTGTGTCCGGGTGGCCAGGGTGCCTTATTTGTCCAGGCTCCAGGAGGGCCCGGCGGAGACCAAAGCCACCACGTGGAGCGGGAGTCTGTGGCTGAGCAGGTGGGCCCGTGTAGGAGAGTACGCTGGCGCTACGCTGTGCTGTGGGCTCCCGGAGGCCTGGGGAGGGGGCTTTTGCTGGGGATGGGAGATGAAGGCTGTTGAGAAGCAAGCCCAGCAGCCCTGGCACGGCCCTGGGTGTGTGCCTGAGTCACGGTCCTGTTCCCCGCCACACCTCCTCGCCTCAGTTTCTCTTTTCTGTCTGCTTCCTTCCTCGGGCAGGAAACGGTCCCTTTGTGTACTCCACAGCCCGCATAGCTGGGCCTCCGCCCAAGCCCCGCCGCGCCAAGAAAGGTGGGCAAGACCTTGTTCTCCTTGGGGGCCTGTGTGTTGTGGGGGGGGGGTGCTGGAGGTAGCACTGCTCAGTCTTGGGGAGATACCTGAGGGGTTTCAGCAGTCAGTGAGGGCAGATCTCCCCCCACATCCTCCTCATCCCGTGGATGGCTCGGTGCCAGTGGGGACCCCGTTCCCCAAATCCGGCACAGCCTGGAGCTTCTCCCCCACCCTCTCTGGGCCTTCATTCACTACTGCACCACTGATGCCCGCTGAGCATCCCTCCCCTCATCACCCTGGCGCGAGGGCTGCATCCTGCCTGTCCTGCACCGCTCCCTGCCTGAGACGAACTCGGGAGAGGGAGGTGTGGGCTCACAGGCACCCTCTTTCCACAGCAGAGGCCGACAACCCTGTCCAACCCGGTCCAGGTGAGGAGCGAGCCCTGAGACCAGGGAAAGACGTGGTGGGGGGTGCTGAGTCGGGGTCAGGTCTCCAGTGCAGAGGGTGCTATGGGGCGGGGCCTGAGAGAGAATCCCGAGTCTTTTCCCCCGTCCCCACAGGGCCCCCCCAGCCAGTCCCCTCCGCTTGCCTGAAATCTGCGCACTCCATGGTGGCTGCGTTTGACTACAACCCCCGGGAGAACTCCCCCAATATGGACGTGGAGGTGAGGATCCCCGGAACGCACCCAGCAGAAGGGGAGGGACGGCCCGGCTGCCTTGGGCCGCACACCTGCCTCTCACTCTCTCCACAGGCAGAGCTGCCCTTCCGGGCAGGGGACGTCATCACCGTGTTCGGGGGCATGGACGACGACGGTTTCTACTATGTGAGAGCACTGTGGGACGCGGTGCACCGCCCAGCTCGGCTGCCCTCTCGGGGAGGCCCTCTTAGAGTGGTAGCCTGGAGGAACTGACCAGGTCACCCTGGACAGTGATGTTGGCGTCAGGCTGCACCCCAGGAACTTCCGGGCCAGGGAGGCAGGCTGCGGCCTCTTTCCTGATCTCAGTCTTATCAGCATCTCCTCCCCAGGGGGAATTGAACGGACAAAGGGGCCTGGTTCCATCCAACTTCCTGGAGGGCCCTGGGCCCGAGGCGGGAGGCCCAGACAGAGAGCCTGGGATGTCCCAGGCCGAGATTCAGGTCAGTGAGGAACTGGCTCCCTGCTCAGCAGTTTGGTTTCTACCGTGCTGGGGGTGGTGATAATGGTGGTAGGGTCAGCATGGTGTCCTGGCTGCGGCAATGACACAGGTGCCCCTGTGTACAGGGTGGCACCCCTGAGTTAATTCTAGAGGGCAGCCCAGCCTCTCCCTGTGTGTGCCCCTATCTGCAGAGGTGTGAGAGCAGTGACCCTGACCCCCAGGTCACCTGACCTGCTGCTGCAGGTGAGGGGGTGGTGTGCAGAAGGACCCCTGCCCCTCCACCTGTCAGCATCATCCTTGTCCTCTCAGGGTGTTCCCATCCTGCTGGGTCGCCCTCCACCCTGGTGCCTTTTGAAGCCAGCTGCCCCGTGCAAGGCCCACCTGCGGCTTCGGGGGCGGGCGGCATACAAGGCAGCCTGCAGCCTCAGGGGCAAGGCCTGGGTGAGGGGGCTGAACTCCCACCAAGGAAACGCAGGGCTTCTGTGTGCAGCAGTTTCAAATGCAAAGGCTCTGCCAAGCGGGACCCGGCCCTGTGCCCAGGCCACCTGCTGTCGGCCGGGAGCGTGCGGGTCTGTGCGTAACCCATCTCCCCTCTTTGTTCCCTGTTCTCAGAGAACGAGGAGGAGAAGAGTCCAGTGCTAGATGGAGATAGATATATGTAGAGAGAGCGACATGTAAGTGGGGAGATGGCCCCCTTTGTCCTGTGTGACCCCCTCCACCATGATCAGACAGGGGCCCCATTGTCTCACCCATTGCTTCCAGGCAAGGGGAGGAGATCTGGCCACGACCCAGGTTTGGGTCCAAGGTCATCCCTCCCTTTCCCTGTCCTTCTGGCCTTGCACTTGCCTGGGCCATGCCAGCTGTCATGGGGATGTGTGTCATCTTAGCCTGTGCCGTCCCACATTGGCCGACCACTCGTGTTCCAGTGCACACGCGGGTTGTGGAGCACCATGTGACATCCAAGCTGCGACTCATCCGTGGTATTATAATACTGCATAGCCATCGTATTATAATAGTGTGATTATTACTGGGGACAAGAAGGATGGCACTGTGAGGCCAGCAGGAACAATAGCGTCCACACCCTTGTCTTTTGTGTGGCCACCTGATGGGGTGATTGGATGCATGGTTTCCTTCCGGCTCTCAATTTTGCCTGCTTGGGGGACAAGAGGGGAGCTTGAATAGTTGAAACCCATAGATAATCCCAAGCCATGCCTCTCTGTTTCCCAGCATTCCCGCTCTCCTGGGATGCAGTGGGAGGAGCCCTGGGAGGGAGTGGTGGGGGCGGACTCCCCAGCTGGGCAGCAGCCCTGGCCAGTTGGCAGTAAGTGCTTTGACCTCTAGGTCTTGGAGGGCAGGGGTTGGGCCTCAGCTATGCACCTGTTTCCTGGCCTTTGCTCTGGGTTCTGTGGTTGGCTCCACACCGTCAGCTGGTAGGGGTTTGGTGAGGGGAAGGAAAGGGTACCCATGGGCTGGCTGGCGAGAGCCGACAGGGCAGGGCCAGGTGCAGAGGGACAAGGAGGGGACGTGGGAGCACAGGTGAGGAGGACTTTGTCGCAATTCTCGTTTGCACAACTCCAAGTCTTTAGGTGAGTGCTGTCTGGGGTGGGCAGAGGCACAGGGAGCAGCCCAGGCTTTCACATGGAGCAGGAGATTTGGCAAGTGGGTGCTAGGGCAGGGAGGCCTCCAGGAGAGGGTGGTGGGGCTGCAGAGCACTCCCTGGGGGGCCTGGCTTCCTGGTGGTCCTCTCCAGGGACATGCAAGGGGGACTCCCCTTGGGCCTGTGTGCATCAGGGCTGGCCACACCCCCTGAAGGCCCTGGGAGGGAGCTCCTGGTCTGGGAGGTGCTACGAGGGCGGGCTTGGGAGGCTCAGGTCTGGAGCCCGCATGGAAAAGGAGTCAGGGGTGGGGCGGGCATCTTCCCTGACCCCGCCCCTTCTCTCTCACGTTCTAGGACTGGGTCAGCAGCACACCAGGGCCCCTGAGGCTCCCCGGCTGGGCCTGTGTCCCCGGCGCTGACAGTCCTGCTAGCATCAATCCGGGGCCGCCCCAGGGCTCCAGTGAGACGGTCCGGGGCCTCCTCTCCATGGGGAAGCAGCTGCTCAGGAGGCTGGGCTCTGGGAAGAAGGAGTGAAGCCGTGGCCCATGCCGCAGGCCCCAGAGCCCTCCAGAGGCCCCCCGGGACCCCCATCGCTGTCACGGCCGGGCCCAGGACGCCCGCTCTTCTGCGTAAACAACGGGGGCGCTTGGTGAGGGTCAGGGCTAGACGGGTCCTTACAGGTGCATCCTCGGCTGGGCCCCTTCCTCCTGTCACAGGGGAAACTGAGCCTCACAGCGAGTAAGTAGTGTGGCCCCGGCCACTGAGCACCTCGGCCACGCCAGGCCCGGACCCAGACTCCAGACTCCTACACTGGCCGGCTCATCTGCTCTTGGTTCCCCACCATACTGTGCAAGTCCCTCCTTGGGCCCCCCCAGCCCGGGCTGGGGAGCTTGAGGGGAGAAAGGGCCCATTCCCTGTGGTGGCTCTGGCCGTCCCTATAGTGTCTTCCCTGCCCCAAAGGAACGTGTGCCCCGGATGCTCCCCAGGCCCCTGCGCGGGCAGGCGGTGAGCCGTGTATATATTGTACATACTCAGTGCCTCAGTCCAGCTTCCTTCCTCTGCTTCCCCACGCGGCCAAGTCCTTGCCAAAGCGGCCTGCCCCCACCCACAGTGCTCCACCGCCCTGCCCAGGGCCTTCTGGCCCCGAGCCCCAGGGGCCAGTGGGCAGCAAGCAGGAGCTGGGTTTGCCTTATTTTGCTCATTGGATTCAAGTTCTCGTTTGCATCGTTCTCCTCTGGCCTCTGTCAGATTCCAGGGCTGGGGGGAAGGACAGATTTCTGCAGCTATTTTCATACATCCCCTTACATACACATAGTGGGGCGGGGCCGCTGCGCCCCCACCCCAGCCCCCAGCCCCTGCCCGTGCCTGGGTGAGCGTCTCTTGCATGTTTCCTTTGCCATGGTGGGAGATCGTCTGACTGGACCCCACCCCCACCTGGGTCTCCAGGAGCGTGGACTGGTGGGGGTGTTTGTTTAAAAAGACATTTTATTATAATAAAGTCTATTTTCACAAAATCTACTCTGGACTCTAAATGGGCAAAGGCCGTCTTGGAGGGGGGTGGGGCATACTGGGATTTGGAACCTGGAAATTACGTCCAAAGGGTGATGGGCCAAAAGCTGATCCACACTAGGTAGTCTGGAGCTTCTCTCCCTCTCTCCCTCCCTCCCTCTGGAGCTCAGAGTTGGACTCACCTTTGTGAGACCCAGAGCCCGATAAAGTCCCAAGGCCTCTGCCTCCGGGCCAGGGCTCGGAGATGGAGCCCCTCGAGTCGCCTCAGCATTGGGTGGACATCCTGGGAGGACACACAAGCTTCAGTGTGCATCCTGT